GGGAGCAAGATCTTCTGCAGGTGCTGCTGTACTTCACGTAAGTCAAGATCATCCACATCAAAACGCTGGAGAGTGGATCGTCATCGGATGCTGCTTTGTCGGTGGCTGTGGTGACCACACGATGCGAAGCAGCGCAGACTTCGGGATTGATGGCATGAAGCACACCTTATCGCCACTGCTGCAACCGAGATAGGGAAGAGGGTGGCGCCGACTGATCTCTGGCTGGTCGCAGTACAGCCCGGACAGATTCTGCTTCAATCTCGATAGCTGACACCACCATCGGATATTCCAGTAAGTAGAGAGGAAACTTCCAATATCCACGACCATGCAGCTGAGTGCCGGACCGAAAAGTATACACTGTGAGCAAGGTGATCGCGCGCATGCTGTGGCGTGAAATACACGGAGTTACGATAGAAGGGATCGCAGAAAGACTTCGACAGCATGATGTAGTCCAGCCGGTTTTTCCGGGGAAGAGGCCCAGTGAGCTATACGCTTATTATCGTAGTGGATCCGCCATGCATCAACAATACCTAGCCGTGCCAGCCACTCAAGACAGCTGGAACGGCCCGGATCGTAGCGCAAGTCAGGACTGGAAGAGTCGAGTAGTGGGTCATAGGTAGCAGATCAAGTCGCCCAACTTTGCGTCATATGCTTCGTTCAGTTACATTGCTCCCACGAATTGACTCTTCCAGTCCTGACTTGCGCTACGATCCGGGCCGTTCCAGCTGTCTTGAGTGGCTGGCACGGCTAGGTATTGTTGATGCATGGCGGATCCACTACGATAATAAGCGGGTGTTCACTGGGCCTCTTCCCCGGAAAAACCGGCTGGACTACATCATGCTGTCGAAGTCTTTCTGCGATCGCTTCTACCGTAACTCCGTGTATTTCACGCCACAGCATGCTGGCGATCACCTTGCTCACAGTGTAACTTTTCGGTCCGGCACTCAGCTGCATGGTCGTGGATATTGGAAGTTTCCTCTCTACTTGCTGGAATATCCGATGGTGGTGTCAGCTATCGAGATTGAAGCAGAATCTGTCCGGGCTGTACTGCGACAGCCAGAGATCAGTCGGCGCCACCCTCTTCCCTATCTCGGTTGCAGCAGTGACGATAAGGTGTGCTTCATGCCATCAATCCCGAAGTCTGCGCTGCTTCGCATCGTGTGGTCACCACAGCCACCGACAAAGCAGCATCCGATGACGATCCACTCCCAGCGTTTTGATGTGGGGATGATCTTGACTTACGTGAAGTACAGCAAGCACCTGCAGAAGATCTTGCTCCCCGTGTTTGCAGATCTTCAATTTCGCCTAGCGTTCCGTCTTCTGCCAGTCCGCTCGCGCTTCTGGTTCCTGGAGGCGGCCAACTCGAGCAATCGTCTTTGCGTTCGTGTTGGGTGCGGCGCCATCGAGACCGAGCAGCATTTGTTCTTCGATTGCACACTCGTAGTCCAGCTCTGGGAGCATGCTCACCGACTGATGTCGCCTTTCTTCCGGCTACGCGCGACATGGTTAGACATTGTGCTATCAACAAAGCTATACGTCCGTGACGAGTGGATGACCAGCGCGGAGGTGATCTACGACGTCTGGCACACGCTTCGCGCGGTGACGCTTCACTTCCTCTGGACCGACCGCAACAGATGCCTCTTCGATGGGAGGCAACCCACGCCTACGCTTCCAGCCATGCAGGTCATCTTGACAACTGCTAGCGCACACTTCCGACACAGACTTCGTCGTTGTTACGATCCTGACCAACGGGCAAGGCAGCAAGCTCTTCTTGCTCGGATGTCACGCAATCGACTTTTCCACGACTTTATCAGTCAGAAACAAACGGTGATACAAGTATGCCAGCGTAAATTCCACCTACAAGAAAGATTGGTACCGTCATGGGTTAAAAACGCTTTTTGTCGGCGAGGTTGAGCACCTACACCCATTTAAATCACTCTCGTCTAGATGAAACCTATAGACGAATATGACTCGGCGTACCGAGCAGATGCTCCTGATCCACGTCTGCGTCATGATGCCGTGGGTCACGCGGTTTTCCCGCACGAACATTTTCTCCCCTTCTCTCTTCATGGCAATGCAGTGTCCACGTCGGGAGGACTTGAGTGCGTACACAATGTACACACCGTCTTGGAGGGGCTCACTGGCACGCCATGCCAAGGCTGCTACTCCCAGTGGTCCTACTTCATTACCCTTGTATTGATTTCTGTTAAATGCGCCCAAGTTGACCCCCCATACCCTTTAGTAAGGCTTTTTTGCGGATAAACTTCACCAACTATGCATGCTTCCACCCACCCTGCAGGCTCAAATCATTGCAGACCATCCGATGCATAAACTGCTCGCTTAGCTTCTTCAACACTGCACCTTCTTGGTCCAGCCTACCCATCAACTCAAGCGCCATCTGCACTGCGTGCAAGGCACAAACGTCTTTCGGGCTATTAGCCATCAACTGGAGAGATGGCAGGTCCGAGCTAACAAACTCTGCGTATGCCATGGCGCCCTCCGGGCGCTTTTCGCAGTACCGGTCGTAGGAGCGCACAAGCTCTGCACACTTCGCAAGTGTGCTGACGGCCATCCACTATGACGACTTATCGTCCCACTGGACCAGGTATTCCCGTGCCCTGCCTTCTCCTCGACGATCCAGCACCCGTGTGACGACGTACTCCGTGTCATCCACCCCTCTTTCTCATCGCCTTCTGAAGTATGACGCAGTAGTCGGCGCTTTCAAAAAAGTCACCCTCCTCCTCCGCGGACGACTGATCCATCCCGGCAGCAGCCATCATGACCTAACCCCCCTTCGATGCAACCCTCGCTGGTCTCATGCCCCAACAACCTTGCAGACGCATGCACTGACATTACATCTTCAGCTTGAGTCGCAACGTCATGTGAGGTAACAGCCACAATGGCTTCTACACCGGTTCAGATGTTTGGCACGACTGGTGGTGGAGCTACTGAACATTTAAAAAACAAAAAAAGGAAAACGAGAAAATGTAACCCACAAGAAAACAAGGATCGGCATCACGTTACAAACACATTAGAATTTTTCTAATTTTTAGAAATTTCTATGCCACGTACGCGTGGCAGAAGCCGGGGGGCCTGGCTCCAGGCGCTTGTTTCTAGGCTGTGCGAGATACGTGCACAGTCTTTCCGGCGTACCATTGCTAGGTGCAGGGTCTACAAGTGTCCTAGAAGCACTAGCGTCCGGTGTGTGCGTTATTGGGTCCATCCAGGACTAACTGGCCAATTTTGCTTTAAGCGTAAATGCCTAATTGTGTGGACAGGAGCGTTGGAGAACAAGAACATCTAGTCCATAATAGTAGAAAACACAACAAATAATGACATAATTTTTTTATTAAAGCGCCACTGACTTTCTGTCTACGCTAGCAACTATGCTAGCTATCAAATTTTGCGAGCGAGCCTTTGTGGCTATTATCTTTGTAGAAGTTTAAAAGCATACAACAATTAGGAAAAGTGGAAGAGCAGCAATCTTCGCTATTGTTATATGTGCCTTGGTGCATCACATACTTGGTCCATTTCTAGAAGCATGGATTGTTTAAAGGTTTTTACCACCAAAGCATCACTTGCAAATACTTCCTTCAAATGAAAGATATAAGGATTTTAAAAACAGGCACCCATTATAAAATGATTTCAGTGTTTTTTCGGCATTTCGTAGGTTAATGATCCTCCTTCGTTTTTGATTGCCTCCTCGACATCTCGAAAAAACTGTTGTAAAGTATAAGACAAGCTTTTCAACGGCCGACTTTCTGCTTTTGTGATGTCATTTGAAGACCGTTTTATGGCTACAGTCTTCATCAATAAGTGGGCAAGAAAGCCTACGCACCGCAGTATAGAAACAGTAATTCTATCACATTCGCACACAAGGTAGATGCTGGCAATGAAATAATAGGAAAACGCTCTAGCTCGTGTTGATTCAGCGTTGTTGGTCCTACAAATGTCATTTTTGACTTGTTCAGCGACGCATCAACATAAACAAAAATGACAGCGACAAACGAAACGCCTAATCTCTTTTCGTCTAGTTTGCAGCAGAAAATTGACAGTATGATGAGTTAGTGCTGCTCTCTACCTTAACGTTTTATCTGATTGAATTTTTAACAGACTGTGGGGATTATATGCGGCTATATTCTTATATCCTTACTTATATGATAAGTGAGTTGTCAAATTATCAGCTAACGCATGTGACACGTTGATATGCTCTTTGACATCAGTGACATATACCCATACAATCTGACAAGATTATGGACATTACGGTAGACCAGCCTTGTACATACTTCATAAGAAACTGGACATTAACTATATACAATATGCATTGTTATACTCATACAATTATAATAATTTTATAAATAAAAGCGATAAGTTTTTCAAGAGAAAATATATTCGCCATATTATCATTTACTTCATATTCAATTTTTGTCTAAAAATACACATTTTTCTCTTATTAGCTTATTTTTTGCAATTAAAATTTAACAATCTTGAAAACCAAGTCTTTATCAAATACATTTAGATTTAATTTTAGCATAATAATTCTTAAAAACGCGATTCAGGTACAATGTCATAAATCATTCATGGGCTTTTATTTCATTTAGTATCATTATAGATGCCTTTCGCGAATGTTTAAATTAAATATCGTGCTAATATTACTTGTCTAATTTTGTTTAAGACTAACAAATGTAAACAAGAAATATCGTAAATTTCTCGCTTTTAAACAGCAAACTCGTATTGATTGCAGTAAACTGACAATAACAATTTCGGTCCAGTACCAGCTCATACAAAATTATACAGAATACTATAAAATTATATTGTGTAAAAGAAAGGTCGTAAAGAAAGGTCGCACAAGGTAACCTTGCGCTAACAATTCTTGTAAGGAACACGTATACTCGCTCGAGAGAATGGCTGTATCGTGTTAAGCAGGAGTCCATAGCCGGTCCATCCACTGGAACATATTTTAAATATTGTGCATACTATAGCAAATAGTGCAACTACTACTTTCCAAACGGACATCTATTTACCCGAAGCTTCACTCCTAAACTCCTTGATATTGAGGATGGACAGCAGCAGGCTAAAAAGTAGCAAACAAAATTGTAGACTAAGGTCATCGAAAGCAAATCCTTCGCCTTAAGCTTTGCAGCACGCACCGGCAATATTTTATTTTCTTCGTAAGGTGCATCTCGTTCACGGCATCCCGCAGACGTTGCTGAACATCCAAATGAAGACCGACATCATATTCTCGATATAGACCATATCAAAAATTTTCATCGTGGAGGGTCTAGTCCATGGCGTATGAAATTAATGTACAAACCACCACGAGGATGCACGTGAGGCGCATGCTTGTCACATTTTTTTTAATTTGGGGTGAGAACAAGTGGAACTGTCAACACGGAAGACGAAAACTGTGAAGTACCTCGCGAAGTGTCGAATGAACGCTCACCTGGTACTCTAATCAATTTATTTTGCTTTTTGAGCCAAATTACTCATCGTCAAGTATAACATTGCACATGTTTGTATCCCAAAGTAATATACTTATTTTTGTTCGAAACAAGAACCTAATATTTTGACTAGAGCTTTTATAATCTTTTGTTAGTCACGTGTGTATGGACGAATTTGGTTACAGCTCATAAATACGATTGTTGTCAGTATGTGAGGATAGGCCAATAGAAAAATGCCATATAAATATAGCCAATGTCGAAATCATAGTCTTGTCGTTTCAGCCAATTGGGATGATATTATTACAGCATTGTCATTCCAGCAGATTTGTCGAAAATTTATGTTGTAGAATGTGTAGGCAGCATTTAAATGGTTATAATTTGTATGCTTCCTACAAAAATTTACCAGAGTCTTTTTCACAAATGATTGATAATTAAAAAAAACTTTGGTAAGTATGAACCATTATATATACGGAATTGCTAAGTCGCTCTACTACATTGAAACGACCCAATAACGTGTGAGGGATGTAAACTGGTGATAACGTCAGCAAGGTTTAAAGAAAGTACCATTCGTTAGGAAGATTATTTAACTATACGACTCAAACGAGAGAGAGAATTTGGTGGAGTTAGCTTACCAAGTCATAGATGAGAGTGATCTTTACCGCCATTTGGTTCCAGTTGCTCATTTGTAGCGCCTTAAAACAGTTGAATTCACATATCGCTACCACACCATTACCTTCGTTAACCACAATCTGACGGCGAGTAATCGTGCATTACTACTCTTGGCCAATCTTGTTGGTACTATAGACTCTGCTCAATATTCATCCATCATATGACAGAGACGACACAACGACATTGTGTGAAACGATGAGCATCGACTCGATGTTATTTAGTAATATCGTAGAATCGATATTAATAGGCTTAGAGGTAGTGCATCGGAGCGAAGTACCTAGCTAGCATTAATTCTCTTTTCGTTTTATCTTCTTCTAGCTACTACAGCTCACAACACCCTTGGACATCCTCACATCGATCAGGTTATGAGCATAATCACGTTCGGCACAAGCGATATACTCCGCAAAGATAACTACTTCGTGTGGGATTTCAATGCGCGCATGAAGCTGGCGAAGAAGGGGCTGTTAAAGTATCTGGATGCCATGAAAGCTTCAGAAGAAGAAGACGCAACTGCGTCAACTTGAATTAATGACATTAAGACCTTCGCGATCGTGGCTACAATGATTATCACGAATCTGCAGTCAATGGTGAGCACGGCAAAATCATCCGCAGAGGCAAGGGACATTCTGAGAAATTTCTTCCTGCGAAAAAGTAGCATAATCGTGTGCATCTACGACGGCAACTACATGAGTTCAATTTGGCAAAGGGGGGTAGCATAATGGATCACTCTTTAGAACTCGACGAGTTGTACATGACGATGCAGTCCGTCGGTCAAGAGATATCAGCGGTGGAGCATCTAGTGATACTATTGGGTAGTCTTACGAGAGACGATGACCAAATTGTCAAGATTATCGATAACGTGCCCGGCATGACACTCTTTCAAGTAAAGGAAATGCTAAGACGGGAGTACGATGGAATGTTAAGGACGGACCACCTTGAGGTTGCATTAACGACGACGCACATGTCGAAACACAAGAGTGTACCTCGGCGATTTAAAGGAAGTTCAAGTGCCAGTTCAAGAGATGGCAAGTTTGCCGGAACATGTTTTCTATGTATCAAATATGGTCACAAGCGTCAGGACTGCAAGGCTGATTAAATACGAAAGAAGCATTCTGCAAACGAAAGGGCATTTACTGTGTCGTATCTGATGACATCTGGATGGTTATTAGACAGTAGGGCTAGCAGCCGCATGTGTCCCTATAGAGATGAATTCTTAGGATTGCACTCATTGAAGGACCCGATAATGATCACTATTGCAGATGAAAACAAGGTGAAGGCGAAAGGAGTCGGGGCAGTGCTCGTGAATCTTCATACAGGAAAATTTATCAAAATCGAAGAGATACTTTGGGTACCGGGACTAGACTAAAAGTTATTATCGATATCGGCACCATAAAGAAAAGGTCTACGAGTGAACCTTTCAAACTTGAGCTGTCAAATCAGGAGCGACACAGAAGTAATCATT